GTGAGTTGGAGGCCAGCCTGGGCTACCAAGTGAGTTCCAGGAAAGGCGCAAAGCTACACAGAGAAACCCTGTCTCGAAAAACCAAAAAAAAAAAAAACGAGATCAGTCGGGACTGAGAAGCACTTGTCACATTTAGTTTCATAGGTATAGTGTGTGTGTGTGTGTGTGTGTGTGTGTGTGTGTGTGTGTGTGTGTGACAGGAATTTGAAGTTGGAAAAGAAAAGAGTAAAATATGTATCCATTTGATATTATAAGCTTAGGGCTCAGGCCAATGACTGGCAATATGAGAGTTTGGGTTGATAAATTAGTGAAAAACAGCACCCAGTTGCTGAGTGTAGGTAATATATGTAGTGGTGCTAATTAACTAACACGTTCACATTATAAAATAATAGCCAATATTTAGAGAGGAAAATTTATTATACCAAAATAATAAGTTGGTATATTAAAAGTATTCTTTTTTAAACTTCATAGAAAAAAACAAGAGGGAAAGAAAGGAAGAAAAAAAAGAGAAATCAAAAGTTCTCAGAGGTAGTTTCTAATCTTAAAAATGAAGGAAATGGGATTTAAAGAGATACCCAGGGCCATGTGGTGATGAAAACAGAATTTACACACAGCTGGACTCCAGAGTCTTTGCTCATAATTGCATCAACACAAAACTGCTTCTTTGCCACAAACATGCTCCATCCTCCCAACTAATGCAGAAGTTTAACACACAGCATCTTATGTCAATTCAGTGGGTAGAAACACAGTTCAACTACAGCGTTTCAAAAAACAAAACAGAGCAAAATATAAGGGGGCTGGAGAGATGGATCAGCGGTTAAGACACCTGCTGTCCTTGCAGAAGAATGGAATTTGGGTTCCAGCGCTGTGCGGATGGCTCACAACTACCTGTAACTTCCAGCTGCAGAGGACCAGATAGCCTTTTCTGGTGTCCTCAGGTACTCACACTCTTGCATACATAATGTCTCCCCCAAAATAATATAACACAAGTCTTTATTGTAAGCCATAAAGATAAATATGTTTGTACTAATTTTGTTTCCTCATATAGAAGAGTCCATGTTTTAAGGTGGGGCTTTTGGGAAAGAATTGGATTGGATTTGGTCACCAGGGTGGAGCCCAAATGATGGAACCTGGTGGGTACCCGAAGGGAGAAACCATATTATTATATACACACATACAATCCCATGACGTGCAGACAGAGGAGACCCACACCAAGGCTTGTGCTGTGCTAATTGATCTTTACTTTATAAAGCAACCTGCCTCAGGTCTATCAGAAGTTATAAAACTGGACTACAATACTGCAGTAAAGGTCAGTTTTCAGTAAATGGTAACTGTCATTGTGAGAACAACATCAAATCCCCACATGGTTACAATTTAAATACTGCACAGTCATGCAAATTCTGTCTCTATGCATGGTGTAAGGTGCTGGGTTCAGTGAGGATGGAGACAGAGCCTCTGGTGATGGGCACTCTTGCTTCTTCATGCAGAGATGTAACTCTGCATGAAGCTGCACTGTGGCCGGCATACTGCAGGGTCCAGAGGTACCTGTGACCTGAGTGAACTACCAGTTAATTTCTAGAAATACGGCATGTCTCCAACCTGAGTTCTCTGAGCAGGTCTTCATTCCACCTCAGTGGTGCTTAACTGACTATAAACTAGTACAAGTCACTCTCATAAGAGAAACTTAATTTTATCATCTGTTGATGCAATATCTGTCTTATCTGATACAAGGTTGTTTAAAAGATAAAATGATATGACATACGGGAAAACATAATACTCTATAGTTTATAATCTGGAACTCGTGTTATTGCTTTAAATCTTACCAAAAAACCTTACACTGATGTTGAAATTAATTTCTTTCAACTTAATATGGTTGGGGAATTTTTAAGGTATCTTTTAAGTAAGACAGCATTATTTGAGGGAGCTATCTTATTACTGTCATGATATGACATTTTCATATCATTATAGAGAATGTGTGTTCCTAATAATTGCAAAGAAAACCATTCTGTACAATGCTGGGTTCTTCATTATACCCTGACATATAACCGTACATGGCTGGACTTTTCCTTAGCAAATGGAGGCCTTTTGTTTTCCAAAGAGACCCAGCACTTACTTTTGATTTGCATGGAGGTGAGATCAACTCTCACTTTACTGAAAACAGTGTATCCAGCAGACAGGTAGTCATTTCTACACGCACAATCTTTCCTCCGGCTTCCATTGAAGGGACATTCATAGGGATTTTGAAGTCTGTAACAACATTGGAACATTTTATTAATTGATGCATTTGTTAGACCCCAGTGCGATAAATGAACTTTGAAGAGGTGAAACAGAGCCAGGCAGTGGTGGCACATACTTTGAATCCTGGCACTCAGAGGCAGAGGAGGTGGATCTCTGAGTTGGAGGCCAGCCTGGTCTACAGAGCAAGTTCTAGGACAGCCAGGGCTACATACAGATACAGATACAGATACAGATACAGATATAGATACAGATGTAGATACACACACACACACACACACACACACACACACACACACACACACACACACACATACACACAAAGAGGTAAAATAGAAGAAGTGCTTTTGTTCTTCCACACCATAGTGACAACATGCTAACTGAGAGAGAAGCAGAATTCACCATGACTAATGTGGTCATTTGAATATAATTAGCCCCCATAATCTCACAGGGAGTGGCACTATTAGGAGGTGTGTCTTTGTTGGAATGGGTAAGGCCTTGTTGGAGGAAGTGTGTCACTGTGGGGGTGGGCTTTGAGGTTTCCTATGCTCAGGATACCACCCATGTCTCAGTCATTCCTGTTGCTAAAAGATGTAGGACTCTCAGGTACCTCTCCAGCACCATGTCTGCCTGCATCCCGCCATGATGATAATGGACTAAACCTCTGAAGGTGTAAGCCAGCCCCTTTTCCTTACAAGAGTTGTCATGGTCGTGGTGTCTCTACACAGCAATAGAAACCCTAAAACAACTAACATGCAGAATTCTTAGTGGGAAATTCAAGGAATATTTCTTAGAGAGAGAGAGAGAGAGAGAGAGAGAGAGAGAGAGAGAGAGAGAGAGAGAGAGAGATGTAATCCTCCCAGCTTTTGTTGCTGTAATTAATTGGACTTTTATGAAAATAGACAGTCTTAAACTTAGCCTTCCATATTATCCCACACTCACACTCTTTGTGATTACAAGCTAACACATGGCTAGGATCCTAGTGTGTCCACCTCCTTCTCATTTGCCTGTCCCACATGTGAGCGATCCCAATGTCGTGCCAAAGGCTTAATATCTGTGGGCCCTAAAAATGTACAGATACAACAAAGTATCTCATACCTAAGGCCATATACTTCAGAAAAGTTGTCTTCACCTTTGACCAATGGTAAATATTCTTTTGGGTTCTCCAGTTGCATGCCAGAGCAGTGGATCTAAGGGGTAGACACAAATATCTAGAAAATGCTTTCCAGAGACAGGATCAAAGTTAAAATTGATTAGAAATGGTTTTCTTAATACCTTCACCATTCTTCCCCTGATGTTAAGGTTGTAGTCACCATCTTTGGTAATGTTGTTTGTAACTTGGATTTCTTTGCAGGTGGTAAGTAATTTACCTTCAAGGACAAATTAATGCAACACATCAACACTGAACAAATCCTAGACAGCATGGACTTGATTATCAGAATCAGCACTGTACTCTGAAGGTCAGACACTGTCTCGCAGAGTGTGACAACTGTATACATCTAGTTTCACATTTTAACTAAAGCTTGGGAACACTCGATGCTGGGTAGATTTTGGAATCTATTACTTACAGTCATTGGCATAACATTTCTTTTGAGCATCTGGCTTTAAACGCTTTAAACATAAGTCACTGGGCCAAGCGTTTTCAGTCCTGCATTCTACTCTTCTCTCCATTATCCCATTTCCACAAGTTACTGAGCACTGTCAACACAGTAAAGTTTGAGGTAAAATGTATAACAAATAATAAGGCCAGGAAACCCATACTGCCTTCTCCAAGACTAGGCTCTTTTAGAACAAAGTGAGGATCAGTAATGGTTAGAACTATGGAAGATGCGAAAATATTCTGGGCAGGATAGCCACTGGAGAAAAAAAAAAAATATCCTTCGATATGAGTCTGCAGCTGTTGTTTCTCAGATACTGGTTTCTTGTCATTTATTTTATATGGTTGTATCATTAGCACACTACAAGCATTCAGGAAACATTAATTGATGAGGCTTATTAAACTGCATATATATATATATATATATGTAGTGTACTGCAAATACTTAATAAACATTAATCTCATTTATTACTGTTATTATGACTACTTAGATGTTTCCTTGTGATGAAATTATGAAGTAATATTATTTAATTTCCATGAATTAACTTGATAAGTAGAATGTAGCATAAATAACACTTATTATGGATATATTGGAGAAAGCTGCTTCATGTAGCTGATGTTTCTGAAATACCTACATGAAGTCCAGCCACTGTACATGTTCTCCAAGGACAACAAATGAGGATTATTGTTATCTTCTTATAAGCAAGTTAGGATAAGCACAGAAAGGATAAGATATTTATACAAGTAACTAATAAAATGGTTTTTAGACAATGGTGTAGAAGATAACTTGGAAGATAGAGTTAAAATGCAGATTACCAGGTATCCACCTTTGAAAAGCCTTAAGCAAAGGGCCTAAAATTCAGAATTCTGGACTGACCTTGCTCCATTTTCCCACTTTCCAAGTGGCTACGTGCAAACAGCTTCCAATGTCACATTTGTACATGTGAGGAGAAGGTGTCACGGGGCATTCTCCATACTCTACAGGCCGAAGCTGATGGAATGCATGCTTTTTAGAGGACTGGATCCTGGTGCAGTATGTGATCTTCTGTGGGCTAGTGAACCCACAGTTACCTGCACACTGAAAATTTTACACTGGTAAGGAAAATAGGGAATTCTGAAACTCGCCCAAGGGTTAATATGTATCACTCATATCAGTTTTACCTCAACTAGTTTAACCAGCTTCATTCATGGTGGGGAAGCAAAGGTACAGAGACCCTTAGGCAGCTTATGTAGAGTCACACGAGAAAATGCAAAACATCAAGGCCCAGCCTAGATTTGACATCTGAGGAGCCTGTGAGGTTTCTCTTTTTCCCTTCTATTCTGTCTACTGGACCGAATTTCCCCTTCTGATGTCATTCTGACAGTCTTGGTTCTTCACACAATAAAATCTTAAGACAGAAATGTTGTAGAATATTATTGTAAGATGTGTTAATTTGTTTATGCTTTGGAACATTTGTTTAATGATGCAACGACGTGTAGCATTCTTTTATGTTGCATTTGTTTAACTCTGTGAAGCTGTGTTACTGTGCCTGCCTAAACACCTGATGGCCTAATAAAGAGCTGAACGGCCAAGAGCAAGGCAGGAGATAGGATAGGCAGGGCTGCCAGGCAGAGAGAATAAGAAGAAGGAAAAATCTGGAAGGAAAGAAGGAAAAAGAGAGAACAAGGAGGATGCAAGGGGCCAGCCACCCAGCCACACAGGCAGCCATGGAGTAAGAGTGAAGGTAAGATACCCAGAAGTAAGAAAAGGAAAAACCCAGAGGCAAAAGGTAGATGTGATAATTTACAGTTAAGAAAAGCTGGCAAGAAACAAGCCAAGCTAAGGCTGGGCATTTATAATTAAGAATAAGCCTCCATGCGTGATTTATTTGGGAGCTGGGTGGCAGGCCCCCCAAAGGAGCAAAAACAACCAACAACATGGAAAGAACTCAGAAATCTGTGTGTGTTCTTTCTTCCACAAGATTGTTTGAATATGCTGAGCCCCTTACAGTTTGCTATGAGTCTTATGAGCAGCTTGCCAAATTTGTGTGAAAGTTGATTGGAAGTTTGTGAAAAGGTCAGTCACAACATGTGGCTCATTGAGTTTCAACAGAGATGCCAAGTGAACTCAGTGGTGGAATAATAACCTCTTCTTCAAGTTGTGTTGGGTTCATAGGGCAGCCATGTGCAATTTTGTAGACATGGGTGATGACTTCATATTACAAATGAAAATAGTCAAAATATATTAGACCTAAATAGACGAACTAAAATTATAAGACTTAGAAGAAAATATAGTTGTACATCCTTCTGGCCAAAACTGGGCAGTGATTTTATAGATGTGAAACCTAAAATCCAAAGAACCACAATAGCAAAAGGACTAATCAGGTTGACATCAAAATTTAAAATGTATATCACGAAATCACCAAGCATGGGAAACCTACCTTCTAGTTGTCAGTCAGGGGAGCCCAAGAGACCTCTCCCCAAACAATATAGGTTATCTCCATTGCCTTGATTAACCCCCAGAACTTGAAGGTGAGACTCTATTGTTGAAGATACCATACGGCTTGCAGGAATTGATCTAGAACTGACCTGGAAGCTTCCTCCCGAGGACAAGATCTCATAGTATTGGAAGGCACTAAGGTAGAGAAGCAATTAAGTCCTATCCTGCAGCAAAGTCTATGAACTGTAACAATGACAAGCATGGTAAGATATGCTCAAAAGTGAGATAGTGCCACATATGTGAGAAGTGATCAGCAGTTGTCTAATTGGACTTAAGACCCACTTACTAAGTAAGAATTCATATCCTGATATTAGTCAACTAGTAACTACTAATAAACTAGTCAGCTACCTGCAGCTGGTGAGGTCATAAACCCAGAGGATACCTACTTTTCTGCACCAGCTTCATTCCCAACAGCGTTCTAAACCCCTGTTTCACACCCACAGATGAGTGTGACTCTAATCCCTCATCAAAGACACTTTAGGGGGGGGGGGGTCAGGGTGTTTTATGACTTCAAAAGGGAAGGAAACTAACATAACCTTACCTGCGATGAGTCTCCCGTCACCACCACATACTTGCAGAGAGGATTCCTGCACTTTTTGATTGACAGAGGTCTCGTTAAGGGATCGCAGAAACTTTCATTCACTTGTATATGTTGGTCAGTCATGCATTGCACTAGACGGTAGGTCTCTTTTTTCTTACACGATGTTGAACACTGGAAGTGCAATGAGAAACCCAGTGATGGTTTCCTGTGTGCCGTGCCCTCGCAAGTTTGCTTGTCAGGATATGGGTGGAGTGGTACATAATTGCAAAGTCAGGACTCCAGAGGGGAGGCGGGAGGATGAGGAGTTCCCGGGTAACCAGGGCTACAGGAGCCTCTGTCTCAAATTAAGGGGGTAGGGGAAGACAGGACAGAAAAGGGAAAGCAAGAGAAAAAGAGAAGAAGGGAAGAGGAGAAGAGGGGAGGGAAGGAAAAGGGAGAGGAGGAGAGGGGAGGGAACAGAACAGAATGGAACGCAACAGAGAAAAAACTGAGGCAACTTGAGTTCAACTCTAAGAATCCACACAAGGTCCTCTGATCCCCACATATGGGCCAAAACAAACACACAGCAGCTTTCACAATTCTCATATCACACACACACACACACACACACACACACACACACACACACACACATACACACACACACACAAACACACACACATAAACACACACACACACAAACACACACACATAAACACACACACACACTCGCACACATGTGCATATACAAGATAAGTTTTTTTAAAATGGAATAGCAAAGGAAAAGGCCACGCCCTTGTTAGCGCTCACATCCAGCCAGGCTCCTGTGGTCCACCGGTACTTCCTGCAGTCCTGATGCCAGCACTGCCGTTGCTCCTGAGGCCGGGTGGCTGGATCGCACATGTCTTCAGTCACCGGACCAGTGCCTCTCAGTCTGCAGTACACCTCCCTCTGCTGCAGCCCTGACCCACAGGTCACAGAGCACTGCAAAGGAGCCCAGAGGATCTCAACAATGTAGCTAGCAAATACCAAATCACAGATTGGTAGCAAAATAGAGCATTGCACATTTTCTTATTTGTCATAAACATGTCCCCGATATTATATGGCACATTAGGTAGAAAATCATAAAAATGAATGTGTTTACCGTTGTCTTATTTAGAGATTCTATATAAATATAAAGATTTTTTTTAAAAGCTGTTATTCACAAAGTACTTCAAGTTTTCTGGAAACTGTCACCTGAATCAGGCTATGCTAGATGGCATCCAGATGTGGTAAGCCTTCCCTAAGTTAAATATACTAAATGTCCATAAAAATTATGCCACTACGTTGTTCTAAATGGGACTTAAATTCTAGTACTATGCCCAATACTTTCCACTAAGCAATCATTTCTAAGACTTTCGCTATATTCACATTTTTACGTGCAACACCCACTATAATGTGAACCTGTTGAGGGGTGGGGGTCCAAATATTTGTTAAGCTGTTGAGTCCTGGTTATATTTCTATGGGCAGCATTCTGGAGAAGTGTGTATAAATGGTAAATGGAGACAACCTTGTCATGGTCTTTCAGTCCTCATTTTTCTCAGCATTATTAATGAAAATCTGTTGCTGTTCATATTTCTACAAACACTTCTTTCAGTGGTTCAGAGATTCTCAAAGCCTGGGGCTCTGACGTCACCTCTCTGCTCCTCCTCCCCAGTGCTCACCAGGCTTGCTTTTCCCCCATGCACAGCAGTACAAGCCTTCACTACAGAGGCCTCCAGGCTCCTCCTGCTCTGTGCTGGTACCCAGTTCCACATCCACACCCTCACTTTGATACTTGTTACGGCAGGACCACCATCGCTTGTGACTTTCTGTCTTCCTCTGTGTTTCTATTCATATGGGTGGCTCATAAATAACAGACATTTATGCCTCACGGGTGGAAAGTTCAAAGAAAGCACCTGAATATTTGATGTCTGGTGAGGAGATGCTTCCTGCCTGACAGATGGTCACCTTTCCACCCTCACACATAACACGGACTAGGGACTCTCTAAAAGCCCCTTTTACATGGAAAATAGTATCAATTATGGGGGCTCCACCCTCAAGACTCTAAAAGTCCCTACCTCCAATAGCATTACTGGGGGGAGGGGGCTACAGTTTAACATATGGATTTGGGGGGAACACAAACTCTTAGCATGATGAACGATAGTTGAAGCTTCGCTCTCTCTGTTGAGGCCTCACTGGGTTGCCTTCTAGGAATGGGGACTCTGCGAGTTTTCAACTCTGGGATGTCAGGTGTTTCCAAACACAGTCATATCCAAATAGCAGATACTGAAAATAACAGAGAGCTGTGAAGCCCATATTAACAACACATGGAGAAGGTCGGAGGTTATTTATTAATTGTGAATTTGGTTGTCTGTGTCCCCTGTTATTCCAGAAAGATTAGAGTTCACATAGGGTAATAATGTTTGAAGACTCACTGATATTCTCGACAGAGATTTTATAAGAAAAAAAAATTTCTAGTTGTTTTTCAAGGTCTCTGGGTTTTTTTTTTTTTTGTTTGTTTGTTTGTTTGTTTGTTTTCAGGTACTCCAGAAGACCTAGCCCCCTCTTTTCTACTGAAAAATATGTTTTATTATAAGAAAACTATTTAAATCCCTCAAACTCTAAGATCTGAACTCACCCAGTGACTCAGATCACTCACAGACCACAGCAGCTTTTCACTTGAGTGGCTGCCGAGTCGGACCCATGGCTTGCATGTGTAAGTGGCAACCACGGACTTCAAAGACATCCTGTCTTCTCACTTCTGAAGACCGTGCATATTTCTCCAGCTTACATTGACCTGCATGCTGTACATAAGCTATTGCATTCTGACAACTCATTAAATGTGTTCACCAAAAAGCCATCTGGCTCTCCGTATAGGGGTAATAATGCATGCTCTGCAGCATACATAATACTAGGTAGGCCCACATACCTAGATGCAGTTGAGCTCATCTGAATCTCTTAGAAAAATGACTAGCCTATAAAGTAGTCCTGTTTTATAGTTCTGTAAACCTTCCAAACATTCTTAGAAACATAAACTGTATTTGGATAAGATCCTCACTGTAACCTTGAAAAGGAATCCTTGAAAAAATTAGTTTACAAAACACATTTAAGTAAGAGGTTCTACCAAACAAATAATGCTTCCTTTAATCAACAAAACACAGGATTTGTTTGGTTTTGACTTTTAATCATAGAGCACATATAGGAAAATATCCATGGAGGTCTTAAATAGCTATATTAGAATATAGAATGCTATATTCTTAACATGGACCTCTTCCCTAAAATGAATATACCCAGAGATGCCATAAAAAGGATGTATTCCCCAGGAACTGTTTTCCACATCAATTTTGGCTAATTAAATGAATTATACTTTTAGAAGATCCTCTCTTAACCTTACATATTTGGTGAAGGTTATTATTATTTACAGAGTTGCTCAGAATAGAAATATGGAGTTCATTTTGTCTCTTTTACTTCCTTCTCTCAGTGTGTTGGTCATTCAGTAGGTTCTCTCAATTCTTCTATTTATCAATTAGCTGCTGGATCTTTCTCACAACCACCTTGTTCAGGTGATGGAATAGAATAGAATGAAATTCTTTTAACAGCTTTCTTTTTTTTTAATTGCCCAGCATGTTGGCCATGATCAAGAGGAGATGAATGAGTGAGTTGAGGGTTATATCTCCACCTGTTCTCAGACCTACAGTGGCTTCCCTAGGTATGTGGTGACCATTACCTACATTCTTATAGCATGAGCTAAAATATGATAGTGTCACTTAATATCTTATACGACTTACCATTGTCTTTAACATGTAAGCCTGAAACCTACCCCATGTTTATTTTTACAGCACTGTCCCAGGTTACTATCTCAGCTGTCTCAAAGACAATGGCTATCCTGTTTACCAAGTACCTTACTCCATACATGGCCAAATTCCTTTTATTTTGAACATGGTGCCTTAGTTACAAAAGGACTTGCCATCTTTTCATTGACTATACTTGTCACAGTGTGGTTCTGTTAAACATGGAGGACTGTTGTACACCTCTGGACCCAAATGTGCAAAAACAACAGCAGATTAGCTCTCCCAATGAGGGCAAAACACTGAAAAGGCACTGGACAACAAAATCCACAGATATTTCCAATACACAGTGGGCAACTCTTGAGTTGAGCTCAGATAGGACCAAGGGAACATGGTTGTGAAGTAGGAGAATGATTTGCTCTTCTTGGTCACCAACATTCCTGTTGGTCCCAAACATCTTTCTCTGCTACATCTGTTCATGATTGTGTCACAGGGGATTTTTTTCTGTCCTTTGACCATCTGCCCCACAAATGCGAGCACAGCATCCTTTCCCACAAGTTGGCTTGGCTTACTGCTAAACATGAAATGATGCAAGCAAGCTCTGCTAAAGGAATGAGTTTCAGGCGCTTCAGAAGCAGGGATGAATGTTCAGAGCAAGAAAGACATGGATGCTCTGTACAGAGTCTGCTTTCTTTTGAAATTGTTTCTCCTGGTCATAGATGTTAGCTCCATTCACCCACTCAGTCCCCAAGTTTCTGACAGGAACAAATAGCCACTTGTGTGGCTCTTGCTGTTTGATTTATTCTACGAAAAGTACTCTCCTGAAGCTAAACGTTTCAGGCTTCCCTCACACTACAGCTGGTAATGTGGTCTACACATGTATAATTTCAGAGGGACTCACAAGATAATCGCTGGTGGCTTCTCTGTTCCAATTGCATAAATTGTAAGACTGCTTTAATATAATTATTATGAAATAAGTTCATTTTTGTTGCCACCTTGCATGATGCCTCAGCTACAAAGACTCATTTGGAAACTGCTGGCCAGATTGTTGAAATGACTTTTAAAGGCATGCATTTCATTTGGTGTCTGGTAATGTTCCCAATGTAAGTATTTAGTGAAGCATGTTAATTACTGCTGCTAAACAACGATAAACATTGAAATATAAGACCACTGGTGTCTTCCTTCCAGATGTGTGGCTTTAGAGGCAAATTAAATACTTGAATCATTAAAATGAACAAATGAACTCACCACCCCTGCACACACACACACAGCGTCCTAGAAACAAGAGGCCCTTTCCTCATTTGTATTCAGGGAGTCCCAGCTTTGCTTGTCAAGTTCACACTGAGCAGAGTCCTCAATGTGTCATGTCCCCACTATGATACCGAGTGTCATCCATACGAACAGTGTCTGTGCCTAGGGGGAATATGTTCTGAATTCTTATCTCCCTTGATCAGGGCCAACCTAGCAGACAATTTAGAAAGACAATAGAAGAATCTCGGCCAGGCGGTGGATAGAAGAATCTTATTTCACTCTTTTCACTTCAGAGATCAGTCAAATATCACCAAGCTCCCAGCATGATAACCCTTTGTGGAGGCTGCTTGTTCTATGGTGAAGCTAGAGGTTTTTGACTCAGTATCAATAAGACGACATAGTACCACTCAAAAGCCAGCTGTCCAAGACTATGTAGGTTTGGGGTTCTGGTCCCTGAATATGCTGAGGCATACATCATCCACTTTTCTTTCAAAATTGAATTTTCAGTCTGGATTGTGGTGATATTTGATCTGCGTACCCCAATAAAGCTTATCTGAGGACCAGAGAAAAAAGCCAGCCACTATAGTAAATACAGAAGTCAGGAAATGGTAGGTAGCACACGCCTTTAATCCTAGCATTCAGGAGGCAGAGATCCATCCAGATCTCTGTGAGTTCAAGGCCATGCAGGGAACAGAGTCGGGCATGGTGGCACATGCCTTAAATTCCAACACTAGTTAACCATAAAGGTCTAGAGGTCTGTACAGATAGACAAGAAGTGACAGAGCTGGGCAGAAAGAGGAAGTAATGTAGCTGAGTGGAGAGAGGAAGTGAGATGGCAAGGACAGAAAGGCATATAGGTGTGGGTGTACAGGAAGTATATCTCTTTGGAAGCTGAGGAGCTGGTGAGGTGAGGTTAGCTATGGCTTGTTCTATTTCTCTGCTCTCTCAGTTTTAACCCCAATACCTGGCTCCAGGTTTTTTATTAATAAGACCATTTAGCAATTTGTCTCACACTGGACCTTGTTTGTTTATCTATTTCTTTGAGTTTTCTTAGCCCATCCAAAGTTACCTAGATCTCACACCTCACTTGTTCTGCCTCTACTTGCAATTCTGCATGCAGTTTACTATCTGCCTTTCCAGGATGCCATCTTAACTCAAATCCAAGATTCTGAAATGCATACAAGGCCATTATTTTAATACATCACCAGATATATTTTGTTGTTAGATAACCAAGATGATATCAGTGTCCATGAGTCCCATGTTCACTAGCAGAATTTTTTATAAATATATAACCTGAAAATAACTCAAGTAACTAAATTATTTTACCAATAGACTTGAGCAAATGCAACAACACTATATAGTGCTGAGAACAGTGCAGAAAATTCTATAATAAAAGACACTGTAAAGAAGTAAAACTCTCAAGGTTATTACAAATACTGAATTCAGATTTTAAAATGTAGATACAGATACCTAGAGATGATGTATAAATGGCAAGGAAGGGAAGGAGGAATGGAGATAGATAGATAGATAGATAGATAGATAGATAGATAGATAGATAGATAGATAGATAGATAGATAGAGATGATAGAGGAAACATGTGATAGTTGTAAAATGCCACATACCTCCTTCCATCTATTGGCTTTCCATGAAGGGCATCGTCCCGATCTACAAGCTTTGTGAGTTCGAGGTTTCTGCAGATGACGGCAATATTTTTCTTCTAATTTTCTTCTGAATTGATCAATGCAAAGGACCTCCCGGTACTTTATACCTTTACCACAAGAAGTTGAGCACTGAAGAAGATATATGAATATATTTAATGTGTTTTTATTAACTTATCTTCAAGAAATATAAAACACAGTAAGCAAAACACCATTGCTTCGATGTTCTTGTTACACATGGTCTGGCATTTCCAGTCAGTGAGAATTTGAAATTTACCAATCTTCTCTGAACTACTAATTGGTACTAACATTTTTAACCAGTCATCCCTTCTACAGAAGTACTGACTGTCTAAAATGTGCAAGGCATAGACTCTGGCATATAAAGATAGATTTTCTAAAGTTAAAGACTGTCTTTAACTAACTGTATGTCATAGCCAAACCTGGGATCTGGTTTGTACATAGAGTTGCCATCTTGATATATGCATTATCATATTTTTACACTACAATCTGATCTCTCCATAAAAACAAAAAGTCCCCATAATCACTCAATATAGTGAGCCAACTGAAAAAAGCAGTTTTGTTTTGTTTTTAATATGATGTCTATATTTGACACATCTCTATACTAGCATACATCCGATATAGACAGCAAAAACTTTGAAAATATAATTCATTGCATGAGGCCCGTGCAGTATGGTAAACAGCTTGGGCTTTGTCATGGAACACTGCTTTCATACCGGTTTCTTCCACTGGGATAGAGAGGTTAAAACACCAATCCACCAGGCAGTAGTGGTGCATGCCTTTAATCCCAGCACTCGGGAGGCTGAGGCAGGCAGATCTCTGTGAGTTCGAGGCCAGCCTGGGCTACAGAGTGAGTTCCAGGAAAGGCGCAAAGCTACATAGAGAAACCCTGTCTCGAAAAACAACAACAACAAAAAAAAAACCCGCAAACAAAAAAAAAAAAACACCAATCCCACAAACTCCTCATAAAGATCAACATAAGAGGAAGAGTATGAACTGTCCAATACAGTCCTATGACCCGTGTAGACTCTTACAAAATATTAAATTCCTCTTCTGCCATTCTTCCTGAGTTCTCAGAGAGGACATAATAGATGGACCAGGGAAAAGTCAAGCAAGGAAGACATGGACCCTGGACAACTCTTATTTGCATCAATATGGAAGGAGTGTCTATCATCAGCCCTCCAATTTATACAGTTAAAAGAAAAACACTTTTAAAATAGAAGTGGACATTTGATTCATTTAGACATATGTAATAGTTTGTGGGAATATTAGGTATTGTATTCTATATATATATTTATAGCATGTATACATATATACATACACACTCATACACACATATTTAAAATTAGAGAGGCTGGCAGGATGGCTCAGCAAATAAGAATGCTTGCTGTTCAGTTATGAGAACCAAAACTTGGATCCTAGCATCCACAAACAATCTGAGTGTATCTCAAAAGCCTGCAACTCCAGCTTCCAGGATCCAGGAGCATCCTTTTTGCCTCTGCTCGTGTGTATGTGTGTGTGTGTGTGTGTGTGTGTGTGTGTGTGTGTGTACAATACATGCTTTTGTGTGTATGTTTGTGTCAATGCATGCACATTAACATATGTGCACCTACACTCATGTAGACTCATGTACACACATATATAAATTAAAGTCATTTGTTTGTTTGTTTTTGAGATAACATGTCACTGTGTAGCCCTGGATGACATGGTGCTCACTATGTAGACCATGATGGCCTTGAATGCACAGAAATCTGTGCTTCTGCCTCCTGAATGATGGGATTAAAGATGTACACCACCACACTCAGCCAAAATAAGTCTTAAACTTCATACTGCTCTTGTAGAAGACTCAAGTTTGGTTCCCAGCACACATATTCAGTGGCTCACAATCACCTGTAACTCCAGATCCCATGGACACAATGCCCCCTTCTTGCCTCTGTGGGCACACTGACACACAGACACATATGTAACCCACACATGTATTCATAATTAAAAATTAAAAATAAATCCTAAACTATATATCAATATAATTTGGAAATAATTTAGCCTTTCATAGTTTTGAAATACCACATTCCATTGCACAGGCAATTAGCTCAGTGCCTTGATAACTGTTATCATGCCCTAGATGGTCTCTTCTCCTTCTGCCATCTTGAGGACCCACTCAGCTCTGTGAAAGTCTCTTGGGAATTCCACACATTGTCCAAAAGCACTTCTGAATTAGACCTACCTCTATGCTGAACTTATCTTGGCCACTGATATGCACATGACCTTACCTTTTCTCTCCTTCACTATTTATTTTTCTAAATATTAACATTTTACATTAATAAACATCAATTATTATGTACTATCAAGCACATATTTATTGGGAAGCATGATAATTATCTCACATAATATGAATTCACATACAGAATGTCCTTCTCAGACTTGTATTATTTTTATAATTTTGAATTGCGATATTTGAAAGACAACCTTCATGATTCTCTATTAGTTCCTTTTCAAGTGTAACATTTATTGTGAATATTCACATGCAGGTTCATTATATAGCATCTCTTTCTTTGCCAAAATAGTTATAAACTAATGATGCTTACTCTGCATGAAATGAGCTATGCATGTTTGGTCCTCAGTAATATTAAACATGATAAAAGTCATAAAAACAAAACACTACAAGATATTAAACATCACTAAAATCATACAGTAAAATATTACAGAACTAAGTAATTTGTGAAAGGAAACCATTTCTTAAGTCCTTAAGAGAGTCATGTTTGTTCACAGACAACATGGAAGGTCTTATATATTTGTTTGTTATGCCTCAACCCGACGTTGTCCATGTGTGGGTACTATTGGAAATGCCTAAAGTCCTTTTAACAAGACGCCAAGAAATGACAAGTAAACTTGCAGAATATTACAGGTGTTTCTGAGAATGACCAACTCATTTACAAAACAGTTGTAACGGGGAAAGAGACTGAACCTGAGACTCTAGAATTCAGCAGCAGCTCTGCGTGGAATGCAGACGCACACGGCGTGAAACAGAAAGTCGCTCCTTGGCAAACAGAACAGTTTTTCTGTTCATTTTCAACACTTTATCTTCTACCTTATTTTAATTTACTGGAGTTATCTGGACTATGATTAGTTTAATCCAAACCATTACCAAACACATTCTAAACGTAAACCAATTATATAAACATATATCATAAGAAATTTTTTATTTTTATAAAAGTAAAACTAGTAAACATAATTTCAAGTGTATTTCTTATTTGCTTGAGAAATGACAGTGTCATTCTTTTGTCTTTAATTCATTATCTTCTTACTTTATGATACACCCAGTTTTAATTAAGATTCTTTTCAAACCTTGTATTATACAACTTGTCATCATATTTTTTTCCATTTCATTTCATGTGTAAGGGTGTTTTGCTTTCATGTATGTCTGTGTGCCACATGTGTACAGTGCCTGCAGAGGCCAGAAATGGACGTTGGCTGCCCTGAGACTAGAGTTACGGATGGTTGTGAGCTGCCACGGGAATTGAAAGAGCAGTCAGAGCGCTTAACTGCTGAACCATCTCTCCATCTTCATTATCGTGAAAATTTTGAGGCACAGTACTATTTCTCACTCTTTAATCTCAAACAATGCTCATTATTTTCTTTCTTAGATTAACTATCCTAAGTTTTTTCACTTCTCTTAAGGCCCTAAATTTGTCGAGAGAGAGAGAGAGAGAGAGAGAGAGAGAGAGAGAGAGAGAGAGAGAGAGAGAGAGACCCCTAAACTACAAAAACTACAACACCAAAGATTTGAAAGTAATTTATGCTTTGGATGGACTTGAAATAAAACCCTTTCTCTTGAGTTCTGAACAAGTATAGATCTGTTTCCCCCAAGTTCTAAGGAAGAGTAACTGCAGTCTTTTATCACATCTGATGAATGCCATGTGGGAATTTTTCTAAAGTAAAAGAGAAGATGCTATGCAAAAAAATTATGTTTTCATTGGAAAGAGGCAGCGACACCATAAACAACTGAACCGTTACTCCCCTTCTTTGCCAAAGCACACTGCATTCTGAACTATGAAAACTGCACAAAGTAGTCTGCCCACAAAACAGCAATTGTTTCCCCTGGTGCCACAGAAATATCTGCTCTTTTCTCTCAACTTTTAAACCATTGATATCAATATTCTCTTGGAATTTTATTCATGCCATTCAGCTCCTTTCTTGCACTCTTGTCAAAGATATTTTCTTAAAAGTCACCTGTATCTCCTACACGCTCGCAAAGTTTGCGTATTACTCATTCAGGACAACGGTGCCCATGGGAATGTCTCATTCATGTCCACAACATACTTTGATCACACTCCCACCCGCCTCGACTGCCATCTCCTTTTCCATCTCAGTCCCCTCCCCCTTCTCTCATGGCTGAAGATGGTTCATAGCCGCAAGAACACAAGCTGCTTCCTAAGCAGATATAGTGAATAAGCCTTCGGGTATTCTCAACCAATGCTGTTTACAAATGAAATAAATAAAAGTTTCTATTAAAAACAAAACAGGGCATTTGAAAGAAATGTACAGCTTATAAGTGATAAACTGAAGTCTCTGCAGACTTGTAGGTGACCTGAAACTTCCTATTCCAAGAGAATTCAGTCTACATTGATAAGAATTAGCTCCAGGACAGGAATGTTCTTCCTTTTACAGAAATGTTGCATGGAATTATAGAATAAAATTATTTGTTGTTTCAGTACAGAGGATGCTAAAATCAATGACCTGACGGTGGAGACTTTTTGACTAGTTCTAACAACATAAACAAAATCAAATGAAGAGGTGGAGGTTGTCTTGATCTAACATATGGTAGCCTTTGCTTCTCCAGCTGTTTGAAAACTTGTTTAATCCAGAAGTTGGTCCTTTCTGACAGTTGTGGGAAGCAAACTGGCACTGGGAGAATTAGTATGCATGCTAGCTAGTCCTAATGTTAACAGCCCTGGAACACATCTATTGCTTTCTACCTCAATGATGCATAACCTGCCCTGTACAGACCTCCATCTTTATGTGACGTTAGTAAAATAACATCTATGAAGGCAAAAGGGAGGGTTTTTTTTCTTTATGTGAAGAAATGATTAAACAAAAAAAAATCCAAGAACATT